ATAAGATATATAAATTTATATAAATTATAAATATAAATTATATATTTATATAATATATAAACATATATCTTATATATATATGTATAAATTAAATTTGTGTTTCTTCTGTTAGTCTGCCTTAAGTCAGTTTAATTTTAGGCCAGCCAAAGAACCTGGAAGGGAAGAAGGGGAATTTTTTTCCTCTCCTACAAGACATAGACATAGATATAGGAACAACGGCTAATGTAAACTGCAAAAATCCTGGGACTCAACCTATAAGGTGTTATTTTTAAAAAATAAGTTTCTAATAGCTTGTTTCCTTATATATTTGTTCTCTACTTAAAAATCAAATGCAGTGGAAAATATCCTGGTTAATTGCACAAGTTAAATTCTCTGACTCACTAAGGTTTCACCTTTTTTTATCTTACTTATCGTGGAAGTGTTCAGGTGACTTAAGACAGTGTGTCAGGAAGAAAAACAAAATGAACATTACATTTCAAAAAAACTTATGTCCACACAAAAACTTGCACACAAATCTTTATAGCAGCTTTATCCATATTTGTCAAAACTTGGAAGCAGTCAAAATGCCATACAGTGGGTAAATGGACAAATAAACTGTGGTAAATCGAGACAATGGGATATTACATAGAGATAAAAAGAAACATCGTCAAGCCATGAAAAGCTATGGAGAAAACTCAAATGTACATTGCTAAGTGGAAGAAGACAACCCGAAAAGGCTGAATTCTGTGTGATAACAACTATGTGACATTCCAGAAGAGGCAAAACTCGAGATAGTAAAGAGATAAATGGTGTCAAAGATAAAGCTTTTGTTAAAGTAATGAAGACAAATTTTAAGCAGCTGCGATAGGGAAAAGAATTCAGTGTAAACTAAACTCAACTTTGATCTATGCAAAGAAAACTGGATGTTTTAAAGGGAGAAGAAAAGAGTAGGGAGGGGAAATGGCAAGGCCTTGAGAAGAGTCAGAGAAGTGAAAAATTACAAAAACAGGGAAGAAGGGATTGGTCCATGTGAAACCATCTGGATTTGTTAACCAACCCTTGTCAAAGTGAGGCTCCTCCCCTCCCACAGAGGCTGGGAGATGCGCCTCTGTCTTCAGGTATCAGCTGGAACCAACAGTAAATTCTTTTGGCTGACTTGAGCTTCCTAAGGTAGGCACTTTAAGTGAGGCTAGGGTCATCCTAGGGATGCTGCCTTGAGATATTAGAAACTTTGCTACTGTTTGTTCAAGTTTTAGGCCCAGATTGAGGCCTGGTTGAGAAGAGAACTCAAAGGAGCCTTGCTAGAGTTTGAAGGGAATTATTATCAATGGTTGACAGGAATTCCAGGGGAGGGAAGTATGAAGAGGTGGAACACAGGGCATTTTTAGGGCAGTGAAACTATTCTGTATGACCCTGTCATAGTGGATGCATGTCATTATACATTGTCAAAACCCACAGAATCTGCAACACCAAGAGTAAACCCTAATGTAAAGTTTGTATTTGAGTTAATAATGTATGAATGTTGGTTTATCCACTATAATAAAAGTACTTCAGTTGAAGTACTTCAATAATTTGCCCTCATTTATTTGGTCTTACAGAAACTTTGTGGTATATGCAGGGAAGCTATTACTATGTCTGCTCAGCAAGCCAGTGACATGGAGCCTCTGGGGACAGTTTTTGGCATGTGGTTTGCCTGAGTTTCCATAAGAAAATACCCAAAAGCTGCCTATTCAGCACCTGGCACAGAGGAGGTCTTGAAGAAATCGTATTTTCCCTCTCTCTGGTGTAGTGAATAGAAATGTGCTCCTTTACTTGAAGTAAAGCATTTTTAATATGTTCCAACAAAAAGACTGAAGCTCTGTAAGTAAAAAGATTTTTTTTCCTTCTTTATTTCCTTCTTAATTTATTTCCAGAGGTTAACTTCTTTACTTCCAAGGACTAACTTTATTAAGGCATTAGCAAGCTCAGTTCCAGGAAAGCACAGCCTTTTGAATGAAAATCCTCAGTATTCGATGAACGTAGAGTAGGGTGCCCTATTTGGGTAATGACTCAGATTAGATATCCAGCTGTCCATAATATTAGTGTTGGCTTGGTTTCATGAAATCGTTCACTTACTTAGTCATTTTTAGTTCAGGTTTTGTTTTTTCATAATCCACCTGTTTATACGTAGATTTTTATGACTGGCATGGAATTTATTTTATCCATTTGCTTATATTGCATGCTTGATATTCAATGAAGGAAATTGAGCCATTCTTTTTATTGCCCCATGAGCAGGGATTCTGGGGTATATGCTGCTGTGTGACAAACCAGGACCAGTATAAGTACTAGAGGAACAAGCATGGAAAAGACGGGTAATTACCTAAAATTAGACCAAGCAAAAACTGCTCTGTTAAGTAAACCCTGTTGGTAAATTTCCTACAGTTTGCTAAGCAGGGGATAATATTGTGTTCTATGAAGAAAAAAGAAAATGTAAAGCCTTAGTAACTGGAAAGTGTGTTGAATATCTAGAGTTGTCAAGTCCTCTCATTTTTCTTTATTACTTTCCCAACTTGAAAGAAGACACAGGGAAGTAGAGAGACAATTGATTTAAGGCATAGAAACTGATGACCCTGTTTTTAAAAATGTTCTCAAAATAAACAAATTAGTCACTTTGACATCAAGTGATGTTTCTGAGGAGTTAGTGATCTTTCTCTAGAACCTAATGGGCAAGCTATGTTTTCAAAACTAATCATTTGTCCTAGTTGCCCTATTTTAATTGTAGTCTTAGTACCTCTACAAAAGACATTATATATAGTATCATGGGGACTGACCTTCCCCAAGAAAATGGCATTAAAACAAATAATGCAGAACCAAAGAAGTAGTTATCTTGGTGAAGTTGTACTACAGCTGTTTGTGAAGTTCTGTTGGACTTTCTTCTCCAGGGCAACGAATTCATCCCAGTAAGAGAACTTTGAACTTTATATTTTGTCTAGCTAACTGACACCTGTTGGGAAAATCTACAGGGATGTGGGAGGTCCCAGTAAATATCATTTTATTTTCTTTCTTTTCTCTCTTTTTCTCCCACACCCACCACGCATAATTTTTGAGCACAGATAACTGGCATAAATCAAAGCAACCCCTGATAAATTATTAAAATAATAATTTTGAAAACTATGTATTACTTTGGGAAAATGCTTATGACAATGTTAAGTAAAAGAAGCAAGACACAAAAGTGAACTTTGCTATGATTACAACTGTGTAATAATTATGGATATATACAAACAAGTTCTCCTAGATGGCAGGTACAAATGAAAACCTTCTGACTTCTGGAGAGATTTAAAAAGATCTTTTAGTTGGATTTGCTTTAATCTGCTGTGGTTGGTACTAAAAAAAAGAAGCAGGGCTGGCATTCAAAATATTGAATAACCTGTACTTGGAGACTACTCCAACAAGCAGCCACGATAATTACAGAGAGAGCCAGATGTCAGCAAGTAAACATACATTGCAAAGGCAGGCTGGCACTGGGCATTTTTTTACGGGTCTGGGAGTAAAAAACGGGTGAGAGCTGTCGCAGTCCCAGCAGGTTGTTAATGGGTAGAAGTCAAGGCGGCCCCTCAGGTGCCTTTCATGAGGTCAGGGAGGTGTGCAGGTAGGGGCACTTGGTGGGCCTAGTTACCAACCAGTACTGTAGTATTTCCATATTTTATCAACTGGTAAAGGTCTAATAGTGCCAGAGATGATAAGAGTCCTGATTAAGAACAGTCCTGAGCTCTGGTTTTCGTGGCTCAGTTAGCTGGAGTGTCATCCAGTGAACCAGAAGTTCGCAGGTTTGATTTCCGGTCAGGGCACATGACTAGGTTGTGGGTTTGATGCATAAAATTGATATTTCTCTCTCAAATCAATGTTTCCCTCCCTCTCTCTTCTTCCTGTTCCTCTCTGTAAAATCAATAACCATGTCCTCAGGTGAGGATTAAAATAATCCTAAAAGAGAGAGAATGAGATAATGCTTGTAAAGGTCTTACTGATAATGCCTAGCCCATAGTAAATGCTGGCTGCTGTAATAGCATTGCATTCCTGCTTATACTTCTTTTATTTTTTAAATCATCACCCAAGGATATGTTTATTGATTTCAGAGAGGGAAGAATAAGGGGGAAAGAGAGAGAGAGAGCAAGAGAGAAGGCGAATCGATGTGGGAGAGAAACATGGATTAATCGTTTCTCATATGTGCCTGATCATGGATTGAACTTGCAGCCTAGTATGTGCCCTAACTGGGAATTGAACCCGCAGCCTTTGGTGTGCGGGATGATGTTCCAACCAAATGAACGACCCAGCCAGGGCACTTATATTCTTTTTCTGTTGTTGTTAGAACAACTCAGCAAAATAAAATTCCACTTTATTGTTGGACAACATTGTTTCACACATACACCACACAGGCCAAAATAAATCAATAAACAGCAGCTTCATAGACAAAAAAAAAATAGCAATCTTTTATCTTTGGCCTTTTTAACGATCTCATACAAACCAACTACCTATAGTATAGCTAAGTACATACACAAAAGGTTACTGGAATGCTCAGAATAAGATTTTTTGTTGTCATTGTTTTTGCTTTTCTTATAAGGTTTTTTTTTCTCCTTGGAGATTATGATGAGCATGGTCACACCACAAGTAAAGTTGGGAAGTAGGACAGACAACGCTCCAAATGCTGGTATGGTCATCCTGAGATCATTAAAAGTGGCGGACCCCTAACAATAGGCACAAAAATATAAAATGAAATAAAAACAAGTTTTTCTTTCTAGAGTACTTCTAAAACAAACAAACAAAAAAAAACAAAAACAAAAAAAACCCAGGGCCTTGGAAGTTTTGGGTTTTTTCGTCCCCTGTTGCAAATTCATGTGGTTTTTGGTTGGGTGATGGAGAGCGCATGTCATCTGTGGGTGGCTGGTGGGACTTTCTACTTGAAGGTGATCATGTTTAGATTCTAAGACGGGAAGGGGAAGGTAAATAGATTACAGCGGCCTTTTGTTTTTAGTTTAACCTTTCCTTTTTTGCTGTCTAGTCATCCTCATCTGTCTTCTGCTTCTTGGTGTCAACATTGTCATCCTCATCATCTTCAGCTGCCTGTTTGCCTGTAGCTGCCTCAACCTCCTCATCTTCATCATCCTCTTCCTCACCATCACTTTCCTCCTCTTCTTCCTTCTCCTCTCCTCCTTCTTTCTCTTCTTCATCTACCTCATTGTTAGCCTCCTTCTCTGCATTGTCCTCATTAGTGTTGCCATTAGCAGGTGCATCTCTTCCACTCTCTGTCTCCTCCACAACTGCCTTCTTCTCCTTTAAGTCCTTGGTGGTGACCTTGGAGCTGCTATCAAGGGTCACCTCCGACATGGTGTGCACACCGGTGATCTTACACAGCGGATTAAAAAAAAAAGGGGACAGTTCAAGGACTCTGGTGAAAATGCTGCTGGAGTACACAGTGACTGAGGAGGCATGGGGCAGAGGTGGCAGCAGCAAGTGGAGAGGCAGACACCAGAACAATGCAAAGATGGCTTTTCAGAGCAGCCAGTGGAGCTTATTCTTATTAATAAGCAAAAAGCACACAGCATAAGGGTGTCCAACCCATGGCCCACAGGTCACATGCAGCCCAGGATGGCTATGGATGCAGCCCAACACAAAATCATAAATTTACTTAAAATATTACTTCGTTTTATTACTAAGTTTTATTACTTAGATATGTACATTTCCTGTATTAGTGGTCACAAACTTCAGACCTGCTCGACGATTCTATAAGATTATCAAAAGGGCTGCTGCATAATCAGGACTTTTTTTGCTTATCTGTGGTGGTGCATATCATGAAAATTATGCACAGACCTTTTTTTTGCTCATGTTTTCATTACTGTTTATGTACTTAATGTGTGGCCCAAGACAATGCTTCTTCTTCCAGTGTGGCCCACAGATGCCAAAAGGTTGGACATCCCTGGCCTAGATGTCCTTGAAGATACGATGGAAGTAGGGTATGGCCAATAATCCCAGCAGTGGAAAGATTTGGTACAGATAGAGTTTTATTATTACTTAATTTCCCTGTCCCTCTCCTCTCATCTGCCCAATCTGACCTTGGTGTGTAAATGGAGATAGAGAAGGAATAGCAGGGTACTTGAACCTGGGAGTTGGCCCCAAATTGCCAATTAATATCAGTATTTTCCATATGTTTCCATACACAACTGTGTCAGGGTCCAAGAATTTGGAAACACAAATGAAAGGTCCTGGTAAATGCCAGAAAAACATAGTGTTGTTACCATAAAACAGTCAGTCAGCATGCCAGGGGAGTTTTGCCTCTGTTTTGATGCCTGGAGAGAGCCCACTGGGTTGAATTTTAGCAGACTGGTCTATGTACAGCTATTATCTAATGGCTAAGAAGGAATTGGTTTTCTATTATAACATTGTTTGGGTTATGTATACTTTAGACTATGGGGAAAAGTGGCCCTTAAATGGTTCCTTAAATTACACCATCATGCAATTGGAATTATTTTGCCAACGATCAGGGAAATGGGATGAAATCCCTTATGTCCAGACATTTATGTCTTTATATAATAAGGATTTGGCAAGCAAAGGGAACCACTTAATGATACAGAGAAGAGAAGTTGCTTCAAAAACCACTCCTTGATAGTAAGACACAGGAAGAAAATGAAAATAGGAAATGAGTCTCTTTAATGCACTGAACCTAGGGGCCACAGGATTAGCAGCAGGAAGACTTCCCCCATCACCACTTCTGCTGCTAGATACCCCTGAAATAGGGCCCACAGGGGCAACAGGCCCACCCCTGTATGATGAAGGAATGATCACCCCCTCAATGACCCAGCAGGGCATCCAATTTGGCCAGGGAGTGTCCCTATTCAGAGCAGAACAATTCTCTTTGAAGCAATACCCTATAGAAAAAAACAGGAAGTCCAGCCTGCTGGCTACTATTGGGCCCATATTCCGTTTTCCACTTCAGATTTACTGAATTGGAAGAATTCCAACCCCTCATATAGGGAGGATCCCCAGAAAATGGCAGATCTTATCACCTCTGTTTTTGCCACTTACCATCCGAACTGGGCAGATGTACAGGCTCTCCTCAACATCCTGCTAATAGCAGATGAAAGGTGGCTAGTTATAATTAAGGCTAATAAAGAGGCTCATTGCTTCTATCAAGAGAATCCCAACGGGACTCCCAACCCGGCTGGGGCACTTCTCTTTACAGAGCCTGAATAAGGACCTGAATAGTGGACCTGAATAGTGGAAACCTATCCTTCCTAGAACATTACCAAAGGTAAATACTGAAAGGGCTTAAGAAAGGGATGCTTAAACAAAAGAGCCTGAATGTGATATAGGCCATTCAACAAAAAACAAACAAAGATTCTCCTGAATTTTTAGAAAGGACCTATCAGTCCTATTGGAAGCACAATGATGCTGACTCACAGGCACCAGAAACTGTCTGGATGGTAAACATGACCTTTATTGGACAAAGTGCCCCAGATATCAGAGGGAAGCACCAATGTTTGTACAGGGCATTGAGAATGGATCCCTCCCAGATGCAGGACATAGCCTTTAAAATTTACCATGCCCGGGAAACAAGGAAGTTAAAACAGGCCATGGTTCCCTTAGACACAATGCAGGGAAACCAGAAAAAGAGGTGGGACCCAAAAGGAAAAGGAAAAGACCCACCAGTTGTCAATCAATGTGCCTATTGCAAAGAAGAAAGCCATTGGAGAAAGGGCTGCCCAGAACTCAAAAAGAAAAATAGAAAGGATGAAAACCATTGCTGAGAAATGCTAGAAAGGAAAGATGAGTCTGTTGACAAATGATGAGGCCCAGGGATTCCCCAAGACATCTTCTGACCTATTACTCTTTCCTCACAGGAGCCCCAGGTACAATTCGCATTGGGAACAAGTTAATTGAGTCCTTGTAGATATGAGAGCTACATAGTCAGTGCTAAAAACAAAACTAGCCAAGAAAACTTTATCTGCAGTAATGGTTACTGGAGTGACCAGACAATTACAACAACAGATGTTCCTTCAACCCCTAGAATGCCAGTTGGGGATCAAAAACTTAGGCATAGTTTTCTCTACATGCTAGATTGACCCATTCCATTGCTAGGCCAAGATTTACTTTGTAAATTGCGTGCACAAATAACTTTTTCTCTTGAAAAATTATGTGTAGAAATCCCATTGGAACATGCTCTCCAGCCCAGGCACTCCTGACTTGCCTGGAAAGACCCAGTGGTGGACTCTTCCCACATGAGATCTATAAGCAGGTTTATCAGACTGTTTGGGCTGATGGAACGCAGGTAGAGCAGTTAACATCAAGGCTGTAAAAATTAACCTAATAGAAGGAGTGCAGATCTCATGTAATAAACAATGCCTCCTTAAAAAGGAAGCTTTAGCCGGAATTCAACCAGTATTACAGAAGTTCTTAAAATCAGGATTAATTTGGCCACACCATTCTTCCTATAACACTACCATTTTTCCAGTCAAAAGCATCACTCTAATATCAATTTGTATGGGATCTTAAGGCCATAAATGACATTGTCCAGGATACTCATCCCATGGTGCCCAACCCTTATACGTTGTTGACCATGGTGCCTGGGAATAACAAATGGTTTTTAGCCCTAGACTTGAAGGATGCCTTTTTCTGCAACTGAATAGATGAACAGCCTCAACTATAACTTGCCTTTGTGTGGCAGGACCCAGATACTAAAGCCATGCACTAATACTGTTGGACTGTGTTGCCACAAGGGTTTAAGAATTCCCTGACTATATTTGGGGAGATGTTAGCAAAAGACTTAAGGGATATTACATTGAAATTGGGAGTTCTATTGGGCAGGCCAAAAAGTTCATTTAATTTTTTCCATACAGTGGCTCTAATAGTGCTGACTTGTCTTTAATTTCATTTGAAAAAATTTTTGTTAGATTGCATTGTGACAGCTGTCATATCAGTGTACATTAAAAAAAAAAACTTATCAAAATTGATGAATTTTGCGCAGCTGTTTTAATATTGAATATGGAAGAAAATACACTGCATTTTTGGTATATTATGCTTTATTATTTCAAGAAGGGTAAAAGTGCAATGGAAATGCGGAAGAAAAAGGGTTTGTGCAGTCTATGGAGAAGGTGCTGTGGCTGATCAACTATATCAAAAGTGGTTTGAGAAGTTTCTTGGTACTATTGACATTTTGGCCAAATACTTCTTTTTGTGGGGCTGTCTTATGCACTGGAAGATGTTTAGCAAGACCCCTGGCCTCTACCCATTAGAAGATAATAGTGGGAGATAGCTAACACACACAAATAATCCAAATCAATAAAGTTATTGATAAAAATGAAAAATTTGTCTTTTATTTTATGGAAAAAATTAAACTTTTGGCCAACCCAATATAGTATATAGACAGCTTACTACTAACTAGCAATACTGATGAGGACTGTTTGCTCAACACCATCACAGTTCTGAATCATTAGGCAAAAAGAGGCTATAAAGTATCACCTCACAAAGCCCAAATTGCAAACAGGAGGTGGCATACCTGGGGTTCCAACTGAAACAGGACACTAGGAGCTTGATGGCTAATTAAAAACAAGCCATTGCTACAATAAAAATCACAGAGAACCGGAGGCAGCTTTGCGAATTCTTAGGGATTACAGAGTTCTGCCAAATTTGGATCCCAAACTTTGGACTTATAGCAAAACCATTGTATAATTGTCTGAAAGGACTAGACTCTGAACCTTTTGAATGGACAAGAGACAGTCAGGTGGCATTTGACAACTTGAAGGAAAAACTAATTTTGGCTTCCACACTAGGATCACCCAATTCACAGAAACCTTTCAAATTATTCATTCATGAAAGACAAGTAATAGGACTGGGGACATTAACCTAGACTCTGGGAAATTAGCCTATCTCTCAAAGAAAGCGGATCACATAACGAAGGAATGGCTGCTATGCCTCCGGGCAGCAGCAGCAGCTACCTGTGACATCTTATAGGAAGCAGAGAAATTCACTCTGGGGCAGCCTGTTATGGTATTTGTACCACACCAGGCCCTAACTCTATTGGAACAGAAAGGAGGGTATTGGCTGATGGCCAGGTACATTGGAAAATATCAGGTGGTTTTATTAGACAGCCCAAATATTACCTTACAGACTACCACTGTCTTAAACCCAGCCACCCTGCTCCCCTACTCAGAGGGAGGCTCAGACCTCCAGCATGATTGTTTGGAAATCATTGACCAAGTTTATTCTAGCAGACAGGATCTATTGGACCAGCCACTGATAGAACCTGACTGGAAATTATGTATGGATTGGAGCAGCTTCATAGAGAATGGTCAGCAACGAGCCAGGTACACAGAAGTCACCATAGACAAGGTAATGGAAAACCAAACCCTTGCCATGGGAACCTTGGTGCAAAAGGCTGGACTGATTGCCCTCACCAGAGCCTTAGAATTGTCCCAGGGAAAGAATGTTAACATTCACACTGACTCTAAATAGGCCTTCATGGTAGTCCATGCCCATGGGGCAATATGGAAAGAAAG